TGAGTGCAAGTCTGTCATCAACAAGCAATTGTAGAAATCCCAACACAAAGTAGCTGGAGCTACCTACAAAAATGGTGCTAACAAGAAGCAAGAAAAAAGTGACTGTCACCATGGGAGCTGCTGTCAGTAAAAGAGAACTCGTCAGATTCACCACAAGAAGGAAGTGCTACCACCACAATTGAACAGTACATGATTGATGGTCACCTCAAGTTAGCAAACAGGTCAACAGTACCAGTGGTGATTGGAGCATGTGACAAACATTGAGAAGTGACAACAAACCACAACATGCCAATAGGTGAAGGCTATGTCAAGGACCAGAAAGTTTGTTTGTTTGTTTTTAATTATGCACAAAGCTACACAAGGGCTATCTGTGCTCTGCCCACCACGGGTATCAAAACCCGGATTCTAGCGTTGTAAGTCCGCAGACATACCGCTGTGCCACTGGGGGGCGGACCAGAAAGTAAAAGTCCTACGAGACACTGGGTGCAGCAATGAGAATCGGTGTAGTAACTGATGGCTAATGTACATCTGTGTGTGCTGATTAATGGGACAGTGAGACACTGTGTGTGAGACCTTGAGGCCATGTGTATGAAGGCACCCATCCACAACTGTGTGATTGGCAATATATCAGGCAGTAGAAAATTGGAGGAACTACACAGAAAGGAGACTGATGAGGCATCTACAGTCACCACAAGAGCTCATGAAAATAAAAGCAAGCAAGACATCAAGCTTGAAAGGTGACATCCTGAATGTAGGTCTATGTGAACTGAAGAAAGCCCAAAATATAGACCCTTCACTAGAACTTTGTGATAGTGCCCAGGAGAAAGTTTGTTTACACAAATGTTTACAAACCATACGCTGTGTTGTTCAATAGTTATGAATTGGTGACTGTTATATTATTGCATCATGTTACGAGAACCTTCTGAGCGTTTCTTGTTGTTTTAATTGAGTATTATTAAATCATAATATCTAGTAGTGTATGGAATATTCTATACCTCTGTTTGGGTATAAATACGCATTGAAAATTTAGTTTGCTATATAGATCTAGACTTCATGACTGTAAGTTTAGCCATAAGAGTCATCTAGTAGCTATTTGTAAAGTGAAGTTGTTACAGATTGTATTGTAATTAAAGAGCAGGAAGAATAATTAATAATGTCAAATTGTGTTATAAAGTAACTTAACTGGATTGTGTGGACTTGGCAAGAAAAGAGAATTATATAAAGCTCTGGATACAACTGTGTTAATCAACAGTGTAGTGAACATTTGTATATACATTTGACTTGTTTTAAACAATTATTTTAAAACAAGTGGACTGTGTGCTGTTTGTTTATTGTTGAAATTTATCGTTAACAAGTATCATACACCTGTAGTAAAGAATACAGTCCATACCAAAACCTAACAGGGTCATTATGCATTTTAAATGTTATTTAAATGCTTCAGCTTTTTGGATGTTTGTGTAGGCGGTTTTGTTGTCATACGTCAGTCTGGGGCAGGTTTTGTGACTATGTGTGTATCTTTTAAGATGCTTCCAGAAGTGTTGTGGGTCATCCTGTTCATTTAGTTTGCACAGAATGAGTCCCAGTTTTCTTGTTTAAGTTCACTCCTTACTTTATTTCTGACCTGTGTTTTTATGTTCAGGTCTCTTATGTTTATGTACAGTCTATGTCATTCTTTAATCCTGTCTATTATACTTGTATATGGTTTCCATGTGTTGTAGTGTTTGTGTTTAAGTATTGCTATTTCTACTGTTTTTGTAATACACTTAGTTATTGTTTGACAATAACTGTTTGTGACTGAATTTTGAAGAAGTTTGTCCAATAAAGTTGTGTATTTTAGCCAGTCTGCTTTGTTGTAATTATAATTTTGGTTATAAATTGGTATGTTACAATATGTGGCAAAATCGAAGGGCATTGTTGTCTGCATCAGGATCTAGATCCTTGTGGTGAGGGTCAGGTTCTATAAAAGAGCTCCTTGAATGACATTTTACTATTATTTTCCTGCATTTAAAACTGGTACTAAAACAATTAGTCACCTAGTTGACTGCAACGAATAAAGACCCACTTGTAGATTAGTTGTAAAAATATCTTCTGGCTCATTAATGAAGATCTTTCCCTTCATTATTATTATTACTTTGTCTTTCCATGTGAGAAAGAATAATACATGTTTATTAATGTTTGTATTCTGATGAAAATTACAATGTAGATTATTTGTCCTGCTGCCTGTCAGAAAACCAACTTCTGCTTAAGGTTATGACAAAAAATACTAACTTGTTTTCAAACAACTTTTTACATAAAGTTAATAAACTTTACTTCCCTAAAAAACTGACAAATAAAATATAAAAAATCGACTAGAGAAATAACAAAGTTTATCTCTCAAGAATGATGAGCCAACCCTAAAGTATAGATTCATATGATCCCTAACTTATAAAGTTAAACTAATATAAAGATTAATGTTATTTCTTTACTGACATGTCTGAAGATAAATAAATACTTTATCTAACGAGTTCCGATATTTCTTTATTTTTATCATGCTGATAAAATCTTGTGTATTGCAAAATTTTTTTTTTCCTGCAACAGGAGTGGTGGTAGAGAGGAGGGAAGGGCTTGCTGGGGATGAAGATACCACAAAATGTGCCTCAGCCTCTCATGTAACTCCCACACCCAGTGAGCAATATTTACCTTTAAAGCTGATTCACTTGCTTGATACTACAGTATGTATGCCCATATCCAACTTTCTAGAATAATTGTTTATAAAAGTTTTTAGTACTCTCAGAAGAGCCCTACATTGTTAAATGGTGACATATAAATATGGTTAAGTTAACATGTGATGCCAATGTTACCAGTTTATGTATCTACTGTAAATGTAATCATTAATTTATTATATTACTTGAAAAATTCACTTAATTTTTATCACTGTAAAGCTTTTTGCACAATATGTCATATATTGGGTTCAGTTGTGTGTTTAAGTCACTAGCTAAGGTTAATAAGATAAAGTGAAGGATGCATCTGATCATATTTGATAGTGCAAGCACATATTTTGAGTATCACAATGACAGATTCAAAACAACCATCACCAGTATGGAACTATGTGAATTTGACTGATGTAGATGGAAATGCTATCTATCAATTTTATATCACTAGTTCATTAAGTAGACTTTTAAATTTAATAGCAACTACACTGACTAGCTAAAAACAGTAAATGTTTCAGTACTAGTTCATAGTTCATACCACATGTTTTGGATGGTTACAAATAATCTGTTGTGGAGAGAAACCTGTCATTGATTGAGCAATGGATAGGATTTCTAACAGATGTCTAGCAAAATTCATGTTGGAGTATTGAATATTAGGTTAGCAAAAGCATTTTGATGAAAAATGGCAAAATGTAGAAAGAAAAACAAAACTCAAATTCCTTCATGCAAACTCAAGGAAACATGTTTTACTTCCCCTTCAGATTAATGCCATAACATTTTTTTATATAACCAGAAGTTTTATAAAAGAGTAGTTCCATGTACAAAACATATATGTGGCAATGTAATTAATAGGGTTACTTTTTCCATTTAACCAGCACATTGAAAACTGCAGGATATCAATATAAGTTGTTTAATTTTAAATGAAGTACAATGCAAAGGATTTAGTATGTTATATTAAAACGAATTTGAATATGTAAATCAGAAAGCCACATGATAACCCTAGCAGATATAAAATCACAGTGGAACAGCATGTATTAGAACTACATTTTGACATTGTTTGGCATTTTGTACATAGTGTGAAGCCACCCAAAACTGATTGCCTTTGGGAAAAGTATTTAACACCTCTTTCCAACGTAAAATATTCATACACTAAGATCATAAAGATGTGTTTAGTTCAGGGATTTAGAATTTCCAATATAAGGATATCCCTTGTACTTAATGGTATTGGAAAACAAAGGTATATAGATCACCTTGGGGCATCAGGCCCATTCAGAAAGAGACCTCCAACAACTTGTACTCCAGCCATGGTAAGAAAGTCTTGTAACATGTGAAAATCCACAAACAAAAAACTTCAGTGGCAAAGGCCATCCATGTACCCGAGGTAACAAGATACAAGTTAATCAAGAAGGATTTCCACTTAAAAATATGATCAACAAGGTATCAATTCACCAAGATAAGGTTCCTAGTCATCCTCCCATTCAACCACTGCACACTTCCAAGCAGCTGAAGTATGAAACAGGTATTCAAGCTATTCCATCTCGTGGTATATCGATCAAGTCACTGAACACAGTACTTATGGATTCCTGTGTAATCAGGCTGTTAAAACAAGCACTAAGAACAGTTGACCTCATACACTAGATAGATAATGGAAAACAAGCAGGGAGGAGTGGTGTGGTTTGGACAAGACAGCCTTAAGTAGGAGCTTTTTGCAATGGAACTTATGCTGCAGGGCTATTATCAAGATGTACAGTTGTCAGATAGTGCATGAGACATAGCACCATGTACTGTAATGGTGTGGTGAGGCTTTAAAATCATTTTAATATAACATATTCAATCTCTGTATAGCACAGAATAAGACATTTTCTAGAGAGTTCTTATGTGAAAAGAACGGCTGGAAACATAAAATACTTTTACGTGCTTGAATATTATTGCAATTCAATAGTCACAGTAACTTACCACAATCTTTCTATCCTATCAAAGAAGTGAAGAAAAAAATTTACTTTGATATTAAATACTTTGAGTTTGTTTATGCTTTTTGTTACATCAGTTACATAACGACAATATAGACAATAGTCAAGAAGTTTTGTGCTCAGTTCTAACCCATTTAACAGTAGAGATAATCATCTGGTCTAAGTATGAATAGAAAAAAAAGATGAGTATATTTCAAGGGAAATAACCAACACTCTCAATGTAAAACAAAGTGGATTTAAAAACCACTATTAACTAAACAATGTAGTATGTTAACTTTGTTACAAATAAAAATCTACAAGAGATTTTTCAAAATTACAAACAGACCACAGCAAACGAAAGCACCAGTGAAAATGATATGTTTTATTTTCACACTAGTGTTTTTTTATACATCAATATGTCTATGGTGCATCTACATGTTAAGTACTATGTGAATATCACATGCTGAACACTTAAATGGCAATAAACCTCGTAAAGACTTTACTAAACTAAAAAATACAACATCAAATATAAAATCAACAGATGTATAAGTTAGCCTAAAAAGTTTTGATAAATTAAACAACTGAACATTTTTCCAGACTAAAAAATAAAATTTAAATTTGACAGTGCTAGAATGAAAATACAATTAAGTAGACTACTAAAAAGAAAAAAAAGTTGAACTGGGTCTATGTGCCTAGTTTTAAAAATTCTGTGTCAGAATTTCAGCTGAGTAACTCACACTAAAGCATCACAACACATTTTACAATTTCCCCTGAATTGTCTTTTAACTTTAGTATGGTGAAATAAACACACATTCCATTCCGTTTAACCACAAACTGATTTCGTTCACAGAAGATCTTTTACGGGTTGAGAAACAAAATTATCTGCACAAAACTACCACAACATTTCCAAAATTTTCTTTTTTTTTTACCAACAATGTTTTAAAAGAAAAAATATCTAAAAACTAATTTCTCACAAAAATCAGGGCCGCTTCAACAGAATGTTGACATAAGTGCAGCAGGCTACTATAAGACACCTTATATCAGTTAGAGATAAGAATTAGACATTTGAATTTTACTAAGTAAAAGCATTTTATGTTGATTCCATGGACTTTTATAAGCTTAAAAAAATCTTTTAAGTTCCAACATGGAAGAGATTAGAAGCATGTATCTTTATACAAAATCCAATTCATGCACAAAACTTGAATTTTACTAAGTAAAAGCGTTATACATTGATTCCATGGACTTTTATAAGCTTAAAAAAATCTTTTAAGTTCCAGCATGTAAGAGATTAGAAGCATGTATCATTTTTACAAAATCCAATTCATGCACGAAACTTGAGAAAACATATCAAGAATAAATGTCTTTGATCTGGATAAATACAATATTTTTAGTGTGGAAGTGTAATGGCTAAACAAGTTTTGGGTCTTTTCTAAGAAATTTGGATAGACTATAATATCTAATTTACTTTTCATCTTACCAGGCACTTATCCCCTAATAAACAATTTTTTATGATCACAGACAAATGAAACATAAAATAAATCATCCAAGACTAGATCCTAAAAGCCAAACCCCAGTAGGACATCATCATCCACTCAAGGGATCTTCACGACAATGTATGGCATATAAAAGCTTCTCAGTCATAACTTCCTGTGATGAATACTGTGGTAGCTTTAGCATGAACATACAGGTCTCCACCCTAATAAATCTGGAATCTGGGGAGCCTAGATATCAAAGATAACATATCAACATTTTTATTAACATATGAAGCAGTGGAGTATCCTGGTTGGTGGCTTTGATTTATCTCACTTATGTATATTTTGTGTGTGTGTATACTTGTATAAAAGTAATCAAAACATATAAAAATATCCAAAATCATCATGAAAAATGCATCACTAAAAATAAATTAGCATTTAGCATAATACAGAACACTAGATTAGCACCATCTGGCACATACTACCCTAATCTGCATGCAATCATGAGTGATATACTTCCAAAATGTTTAATGCAAGGTGATAGGCTGAACTGTCTTCACCGCACCAATCACCATATACGACACATATAATCAGTACTCGCACTGTCACTGCAGTCAACAGTGGCTATATCTTATGTAAATAACATCTTGTGTCACTGCTTTATCAAAACTGCAGTAATTATATACTTGTGCTAGTAATGGATGAGATTCAAATATTTTTATATGGACTAAAACACTATTTTTTAAAATTCTCCCAAGGCTGGTTTAGTGTTTGTAAACACAGTAATAAGGAAAATACGCCACTAATATGAAGAAAAAAAAAATGTAAAAATGACAAAAAAAATAAATTTACAATGTTGGAGATAAACCACCAAAAATATTTCAGTTTTATTCTTTATTTTCTTGTCAGCAATGTTTTGAGCAAGTGCTCTCTTTCAAGCCATAAACAAGCCTGTAAGTTAATGAAAAACTACTGCAGGACATTCTGATATGAAACAAAACACAAGAAAAGAATACAGAAGAACAGACTGTAAAGCGAGATTTAAACAATATGGTAATGACAATACAAGAAAGCTGAAGAAAATGGTGATGAGCTATTGATTAACGTTAATGATATAGAAAATGATTAAAAAATATAGTTTATGTATAAAAAACAGTTAACAAGAAAACAATTTCTAAAAAAGTAAATGAAGGTTATTTTAAAACTAGCATATGGCCTGCCAAAAATGAAAGGAGAAGTACTATCACCCCCACCCCATAGAATAGCCTAACCTCACATTTCATAGCTACCTGAAATAAATAGATTTTGCGAGATCAAGCTTGACCAATAAAGAGGCAGAAAAGTGCAGTTGAGGCAGTCAAACATTGGTAAATTCCTTTGTGAGCCAATCAAAATTAAGATCATTCATGAAATTCATAGAATAATTATTGATAAAAATCAGCTAGATTCACAACCTCTAATATATAGAAAAACTAGTGTGTTTTGGTAACACTATGTTCCAACAATGGCTTTTATGATATGTTGCTTAGCAACAAAAGTATAACCTAATATTGTTGTTAGTCTATGTACTGAAAGTATAAAATGAAATGAAGAGACAACAAAACTAGAAAAATATTTGTTGATTTCTTAACTTAGAGTCTCTGTTGACTAAAGAGGCTTTTTTATTATTAAAAACGTAGGTGATATAACAGAAAATAACTTAATTCAAAAACGACTTAAGCTTAAAATTGAGATGCAATTTTTACATTAATGAAAAATTTTATGCACTTGCCTCTAGGCACTATGTCCTTATTTTAGGCTAATTATACCAAAACTCCCTACACTTATAAGGTTTCATGGCACCCCCCTCTCTCATGACTCCCTTGCACCCCTGTCACTAAAATCATAATGAGCAAACAGTAATCAAACTATTCTATCTGGATAAATGCATTTTGGCTTTTATGTCTCCTCCTATTTTGAAAAATCAAGTGTGATGTGACACACACACTGGCTTTTATATAGGTTAGATGGGTTTAATGCAAAAGGACTTGTACAATCTAATCAAAAACTGATTTTTTTAAAATTATGATCCATTGATTGGTGTTAGAGGGAGCATGTCATAGGCAAGAACTTTAAAGTGTTCAATGGAATGATCCGTTTTGTTAAAGTGTTGAACTATAGGCTTATTTTTATATCTTTAGTCATTTTCTATTTCCCTAATTTTAATCAATAGCTCATCATTGTTATCTTCAGCTTTCTTATGTTTTCACAAGATAAATAAAAAATTTAAAACCTTCGAATAGGGATCCTAAAAAAGTTACGAAACAAGGCTGGAGATGCTGTAGACATTATTCAAACCACAAAACCCTATTTTCACTCCACCAAATGTAATTTTAGATAATAGCATGGAGCCAAAATAAGAGTTTGTAGTTTAAGTGAATAATGTCTACAGTGTCTCTTGCCTTGCTTCATTATTTTTTTAATGATCCCTATTTGCAGGTTTTCAAATTCACAATTTTTTTATTTACCTTGTTTGCTGGCTTTCTTTATGCTCAACTATGGGCAAAGGATTACTTGATATGGTAGCTAATTTTATACATTGTAATGATAATAATAATAGCTAGTAGTTAGCTGATACGGTTCATGATGAATTACTGTAGCTATTGACTATTTGATCGTATTAGTTCGAGATGTAAAATGTTAAGCTGCAGATGGAAATTGTCATGGAGGTTTGTTTGAGAATATTTCGAACATTTATAGTTTCTGTGTAACTAAATTCTCTCTCTGTATATAATGCATAGCAATGGGCAAATATATGCCTAGACTAAAACACAACCCCCACTAAACACACATAAAATTTTACCAGTAGAAAAGCAGCATTTTCAACTAAAACATATACATCTAAAACATCCCTTCAAATAAACCTTTGTGTTTTTTAAAGTAATTATTTTACAAAAGTATGTAATGAAATTGAATACTGTGTGTATTGATTTTTTTTACTCCTTCGCTTTATACATAATATAGGTGTACAAAGCATTGTGTATCTACATGTTACAGTTATCTAATGTTCATCTGCTATTGGCTAGTAATTCCAGTTTTACCCTGTACTTAAGTTTTTAAAGGAACACCAGATAGAGTAAAAAAAGCTAACTTCAAGGGGTAATGATAACATTGTTTATACTAGAATTATGATATTATTTTAGCTTATATAAAATATAGAAGAAACAAATTGACTTTTCAATACCTCTATGACCTTTGTAGTACCTTATTTAGTATTCTACAAAAGGTTTGGGCACAATATACCAAGCTGTTTTTGTTGTAGGCTGGTAAGAAAGTAATAATAATAAGAAGAAATACAAACAGGCTGTTTTGAGCTGATTTTCTTTTCCTTTTAAGTCTAACATGCGTGCTTTTTTTTGTACATTTTTATATATGTGTACAGCCTTAGTATAGTAAAGGTTTTAAAGTGTTGTTTGAACTAAATCTTTACTGTTTAAGGTGCTTTTTGCCCGACTGTTCTATTAGGGTTTTGTGCTATTCCTTGCAATCCCTATTATGATCCACTATCATGGTTCATGACTACCATATTATTCAAATTTCACATTACATTCTGTTTTCATGTATTCTTTTCTCATGTTTTGGTTCCTTTCAGAATACTTTGCTTTAGTTTGCCATAAACCAACAAGCTTGTTTCTGGCACAAAAAGTGTTTGCTTCAAATGTCACCCCCAAGGAAATAAAAATAAAACTCAATTTTTTTAAGGTGATTTACCTCAAACAGTCTAATGTTTTTATTAACATAGTATAACTTGATTTTTGTTTTATTGAATTTTACTCAAAGCTACAAGGGCTATCTGAACTACTTATCCCCAAGTGATAGGGAAGAGCCTACATACTAACATATTGACATTTGTATTAACATAGTACATCTTGTTTCTTGTTTTATTGAATTTTACTCAAAGCTACAAGGGCTATCTGAACTACTTATCCCCAAGTGATAGGGAAGAGCCTACATACTAACATATTGACATTTGTATTAACATAGTACACCTTGTTTCTTGTTTTGTTGAATTTCATGTAAAATTATACCAATAGATATCTGGACTATTCGTCCCTAATTTTGAAGTGATAGACTAGTAGGAAGGTCACCCACTGCCAACTCTTGGGCTACACTAATTGAATAGTTTTTTATCATCACTTTTATAAAGCAACCACAGTCCCAATGTACCATGTGAAATTTTTTTTTTTATTTTGTGGTTGCCAAAGATAACATAGTATGTCTTGCATACAGAGGCTGAATATGGTAAATTTACCACCAAACTTGTCTGATGCAAATCAAATTTAATCTTCCTATTAAACCTCTAAAGAGCCAATAAAAAGAACTGGATTAAATAACTTATTTTCTTTGTAAAATACATGGAAGACTCCAAGAGTAATAAATAGGATTAAATGCAATATTTATGGCATTTTTGCTTACTATTTTTATTTAACTCATAAGGAATTAGGAACCCTGTAACCCAGTGGTTCCCAAACTTACTCAATCTTCGGATGAGTAAATCTTTGTAAGAAACTTACAAACCATTACGAATATATAGGCCTATACTACAGTATATGACCTTCTGATAACAAGCACACAGAATGCTAAAAGTTATTCATAGGGTTGTCAGAAAATTTTTGAATTTGAATGACATGATTATTTATTCCGAATGAATTAAACACTTTTTTTGTCTTTTCTTCATTAGATGTTTCTGTAGATTAGCAGTGGGAACTATTGCTATAACTAACAAACTAATGAATGTGAATTTACAGTCAGTTTATTGCTTAAATATTTTCGAAAAATGTACTTAAAAAGTCATTAGGGTCCATATGGGCCCCATTTATAATTCTAGGGGTAAAAGATGTTATTTTATGCAAAGTTTTAGCTTGTCATTAGCTTTAGTATTTTTAAGAAATGGGAAGCACAGGATTGAGGAAAATAATTTTCATGTGTATCAAAATAGAAGTATCTTAAGGAAGCCTGAAGAAAATATTGTTCATGTGTAGAAGGGTTGCCAGATTTTTCAACAAAAACAAGCTGTATGTGCTCCCAATACAAGTCACTCCTTAAACAATCAGGATCAAGCAATGTAAAAAAAAGCTATACTGAAACACAAAAGAGCAGCAAATATTAAAGCAAATGTTAAAAAACGAAGCCCAAATCCACAGGAAATATGCATACTTGACATTATTGATGTGTAGCATGATAGAAGTATCTTAAGGCAGGCTGAGGAAACAGTTGTATTTTGAGATGCTTGTCATTGTAAATGTCTGTTTGAAAGGTATGGAAAAAAAAGGACATACTAAATTTATTAAAATAACATAATCTTTAGGGTCACTGAGGGTTGTGAAAAAAAAAAGTCTTTAGATTAAAGAAATCTGTTCATGTGAAAGATGAAGCCCTGCATTTAATTAAGGGATTTCAAAATATAATGTCTAACAAACTGAATCTGTTAGAATGAATGTTTTATTATTATTTTGAATTTCTATCAATTAAGTTCTTAAAACCCTTGGAAAGTGAAGAAAAAATACTTTTGATACATACATATATCAAAAACTAATAACATGCCTTGACTTTAACTTTTTAAGGAAGAAGCAAATAGTTGCTATTTGTTCTCCATTAGCAAATTTGGGACTGATACAACAACATTATTCTTCTGTAAAATTAACCACAACTGTATCATAATTAATTCTTTCACACATTGAATATTAATAAATAAATGTATAAATCTTTTCAATTATGATTTAAAATATTTTTGAATATTAAAACTCATTTTAATGACATGTGATAGTATTTTTATTTTAACTATTTCACAAATGTTAAATATATTTCATTTGGGCAGTAACTGGTGCATCTAGGTCATGAACTTGTGGATTGACAAGAGCCTACAGATCCCAATGCTGATGACACCCTGTACTAAAAGAGTAGTCTGTTATTCAAAGTTATGAGTGCCAAAGCTGGTGAAGCATTAGAAATCAATAAGCATGGCATGTGTATTAATCACAGCCAAGTAAAAATGAATGTGGAAAAAAATAAAAAATCTGCAGTTTATAAATATATATGTGATTTCTATTTTATTATCATTATCTTCAAGGGAACACTATTTGGACACAGTATTTCCAACCATGCTGCCAGCAAAACTGAAATACAGATGCCAGACTAACTGGGTAGCTCACACATTAATTGCTTTGGCAACCAATCAATTTCCTGATACTTAGCCTGAGTATATCAGGCAGCTCAAATGGGGATTACAAAATTTGCAAAATAAATGCTTGAAATTCATGTATCATGGGTATATTAATATTCAACTGTAAGAATCTGTGAATTTTCCATCTGTCATGTGTACTAACATTTTTTCTAGTGTATTATAAGTTTTACTAGAGAAACTGCAACACTAAGCAGCAATTTGCAAGCATTACTTTCAAGACCTAAGTAATATGTATTCTGTGGGTATATTTTTTGGCTTATTGTTAGCATAGCCTTAAGGGGGGTCATCCATTAATGATGTCCCACTGGTTTTGCTCTCTTCCACACCTGGCCATAGCCTTATAGACCACCTCCTCCAATGATTACACCTCAAAATCAGTCCCCCTCCAAAAAGAAAACAACTTGTTTTTTGAATTTCATAACATCAGTATTACTGGCAGTGGTGGAAATTGGATAAGGTAATTTTCATAACAAAATATAAAGTTTAAATTAGGGACACTAATATTCTGTACAGGTACAAAGAACTGATTTAATTTTTCCTTTTATTTAAATTTTTACAAAACAGACTTGCATAAAAGCAACAAAAAGCTCTTCAATAGAATTGGCTTAACAAAATAAAATGCAATAATGATTAGACTTTTTCTTTAAAGTCAACTTATGTCATCATTAAAGTAAAAATGTGTTATGAAATTTAAGATTCCATTAAGAGACCTAACTTCTCGAGGCTCAACCTGGTTTTCTGGGATGTTGAGTCTATTCACAAGTCCATAGGCTACTAATCCATTCAGACACTACATTCATGATAACTTCATGAGGCTCAACCTGGTTTTCTGGAATGTTGAGCCTATTCACCAGTCCATGCACTATTAATCTATTCAGATACTTCATTTATGATTTGTATTTTTTTTATTCCTTTCATGTATTAATAGGACTTGCAGCAATTCTCACTGGACGTGCTTGGATTGTATGACTCTGGACTGAGGCTGCACTTTATGTATATATTTATAGTGCATTTGAAGATGTCTTTGAAGCAAAACATAATCCACATTTTGAAGTAACATGAACCTCCCAACTAGTCATGAGCCACTGGACAATAACAATTATATGCCACACTTCCATACCCTTAGAAGGAGTTTTGATGTTAACAAGAAGCTGATTAAATAGCAATGACAATTTTATACTCTCGTCTGCTCTACCATCTGGTTCTGTACGAGTTAAACCTGTGAAGCCCTTTCTTTGAATGGAATAAGGAGTTGGTAGAAATCTATTCTTTTATACATTACTAATGAATGACCTATTTTTCACACACTGTTGAGTAAAAACATTACATATTGAAAGCGAACAGCATACTGGCAGTAAACATTATGAGGATTTTTCCTCTATAAGTATATCATTGGAGATACCTCCTATTATCGATAAAGCTGTTACGCCATTTTGTTTCACTTAATACTGCTACAAAATCACTTAATATTGATATAAAATTTCTTGGAAAGAGACCTTTATCAAGATGCCATATGAACCCCATTAGTTTTTTAAACACATTTTTCTAAACTATTTATTTACTAAACTGTGGATCACATCAGTGGAGAATAGAGTTGGTAATTTGAGGATTATAAATGGACTTGAATAGTTTTGAAGGTAGTTGTAAGAGATATAAAGATTAGTACATATTAGGTGAGCTGCAGATAAAAGATAAGTAACAATTAAATGCAGTTATCCTATTTTTACCAATTTCAAATTTCTACAATCCCAAACAATTTTAAAAGGAATGCAGTGTTTCTGTTTTTTTATACAAGTCATTACTAATTCTAAGAACTTATGAGTGAAAGCAAAGAAGAATATGCAATAATATGTCAACCCCACTAAATCTGCATGACATCCAGTGCTGATGAGACCTTTTCTCCAATACCAGGGCTCATCATGTTGGCTGGGATACAACTGACATATTAGTGGTTGAGGTGTTATAGTTTCTTTTCTAAGAAACAAAAAACTCTCTTCATGCAGTTAGAATTTTATAAATGTTTAAACTTGATAAGAGATTATGTTATTAAACAACATAACAACACACTGATTCCAGTAAATGAGATCAAGTCACAAACAGAATATAACTGAATTAGATATGATTAAACTAACCTGGTCTACAGTCAGGAGGAGCTATCTTCATGGGGTATGGTGGTACATGGGCTGCATCAGCCTGACCATCTTTGCACGGGCAGGTGCTTGGAATACGGTCTTGGTTGCAAGCAAATTTGATGAACTTACGGAGTTCCTCTGTTGACAGGCTCTCCAAAGCATTCCAAAAGTATTCAACATGAACATCAGTTTCCGTCAAACCCACGTGATATATTGTGTGGGACTTTAAAAGCAGAGAGAGAACACAGTACAGTTGATATAAAATAAAAGCAAACGTAAAAAAAAAAACAGCTTAAGTTAACTGTACCCATGTAACTATATCAACAGTATATTAAAAAACTGAAACAACACAAGACTTTAGGACTAATATTCAAGATAAAGATTATTCTTGACTTTAGCTATTCTATTCCACTTTATTCCTAATTTGTACATTAGTCGGAATAAAAATCATGCTTCACTGCAGATCTTTTTCTACATTATTCTTAATGTCTAATACAGATTTCAAATCAGGGGATTCTTGGTTTCTAATTTTGTTAGCTTTCAGCATTCAATACCTTAATATCACACATAATTGTGTACAAATGAGTACTCCTCTTTTTAGGACTAACTATAGTAATTAGATACAGTAATGTTATGGCAGTTGGATATCAATGGGTTTCATAGTTAGTAGTTTATACAATCATTTAAGGCTAATTATTAAATAGACTTAGGTAATCACAGAGGCTGCTAACCATGAAAATGATACAGTAATCAGCTTATCATTGATATTGTTTCTGAGATGAAATAGAAATAAGCAATACTCACACCTAAAATAACATTTTAAAAAAACTACTATTAATATTAGTGTATTTAATACAATCTTCACAGTATTTTCAATTATTAAAGTTGGAATACAAAAATTAAATACTTGAGTAACAAACATCTGTACTTTTTAAAAACTATTAATTTACTAACACCCTTTGTATGTTATGTGTACTCTATACACCACATGCATGTTGTGTTTAGTGTACTCTATCCACCACACGGATGTTGTGTTTAGTGTACTCTATCCACCACATGCATGTTGTGTTTAGTGTACTCTATCCACCACATGCATGTTGTGTTTAGTGTACTCTATCCACCACATGTATGTCGTGTTTAGTGTACTCTATCCACCACACGTATGTTGTGTTTAGTGTATTCTATCCACCACACGTATGTTGTGTTTAGTGTACTCTATCCACCACATGCATGTTGTGTTTAGTGTACTCTATCCACCACACGTATGTTGTGTTTAGTGTACTTTATACGCCACACACATGCTGTATTGAGTGTACTCTATACACCAAATTTATGTTATTATGTGTACTCTATACACCACATGTATGTTGTGTTTAGTGTACTCTATCCACCACACGTATGTTGTGTTTAGTGTACTCTATACGCCACACACATGCTGTATTGAGTGTACTCTATACACCAAATTTATGTTATTATGTGTACTCTATCCACCACATGTATGTTGTGTTTAGTGTACTCTATCTACCATATTTATGCAGTCAGCTAATAAATACACAATTTAAAAAATACTGTAGGTCACATACTTTCAGAAACTCCAAGTCAGTCTCTGGCACACCACAGATTCTCATTTCTATATCTTGAGGAGACATTAGATGAAAGAGTGTCAGAGGTATGATAGATGCTAACCCTGCTTTAATAGCTTCCATTCTGTCTCTGGCTTCAAGTTCCCTCATTCGCAAAGTTTTCACTGATTCAACATATTGTTCATGATTTTCCCAGCTGTACCAAAGAAAGTTAAAAAAAAGTTCTAATACTATTAAGAATCAAAACATATTTCCTTCATATTAAAAGCGTGTTAACAACAAGCTTTCACTCTTATCTTCACAAAAAGAACTAAGTTTGTTAAGACACAAACACCATATTAAAATAACTTTAACTCTTATCTTTACAAAAAGAAGAAATATTTTCAAAACACAAACAGGCATACTCCATACTAAAATCATTTTAATAGTGAACTTTCACTCTTTATCTTTATAAAAAGAGCAAATATTTTAAAAACACATAAACAGATGTACTCCAAATTAAAAACATTTGAATAACAAGCAATCATTTTTGTTTTATAGATGACAAGCTGAGGTACACATCCTTTTTCCGAGTTATGAACTTATAAAAATGTGGGGGTGGATACTATGATAAATAATACAAAAATCCTAACTTTCACACAATTTAGTTGTAACATAACATATTATTACAGTATTCATTATTACCTCACCAAACGTTTTGTATAAGCTTTAAGAACTAAATATGTGTATGTTTAAAACATGGTACACACCATGTGATGGTCAGGGTGATTTTGTTTGAAGAGGTAGCAGCCAAAGTAGTGGCAGTAGGGGGTGCTTTCTGTTACCCACTTTCAACACCCACTTCTTAATGTCCTTCCACACTGTTTCACATTCTTAATTAATTGATGGTAATTGGCCATAAAAGTGTCTTATGGGATGAAATTGTAAGGACACAGATCAAAGTAGGAAGTGGGTATAACTCAAGAAATGGCTTTTCACATCAGCATTATGATCACTGTTGTTGTATCAACTTTATCTGAGTTTATGTATTAATGCAATAGTGGTGGTAATTTTTTATCATTGCATTCCTTCATGGAAAGTGCTACCACACTCTCTGAGTTATATAAAGGTATGTGTGATCCTCCCCCACACTGTGTGTATGTTGTGTTATAGAAAGTTATATGTTATGTGTTATATGTGTTTTCTTATAGCAAAGCCACATTGAGCTATCTGCTGTGTCCACTGAGGGGAATTGAACTCATGATTTTAGCCTTCTAAATCTGAAGATTTATTGCTGTCCCACTAGGGAGTTGGAAAATTTCATAAAGTTTTTTGTTTGGTGTAAGAATGTGGTGCTATATATGAATGTAGTTACCATTAACCATCAATGATAATAAATGCTCAATAACATCAATAATGGGGGTGAAGGGGTTATGAACCTCCCCATTAACACGCCCCTTGTTTCAATCTATCATCCTACAAAGTTTGGTTGAGATCGACCTAGCGACCTAGGAGTAATTAGATAAGGGACAAAATGACAAACACACAGATTTGTGTGCTTTATATATATAGATTTAACAGTTTTTTTTGTTTTTAGTGTAAGAACATGGTGCCTCCTATGAATGTAATTAACTTATGTCAAAGACAATAAATGCTCAATAACAGCAATAATGGGGGTGGAGGGAGTCATGAACCCCCCATTAACATGCCCCTTGTTCCAGACTATCATCCCAAAAATTTTGGTTGAGACTGGCCCAGTGACCTAGGAGTAGTTAGATAAAGGACAAACAGACAGACACACAGTTTTTTGTGCTTTATATGTATAGTTAGGCAGAGTCTTAATAATGAACAAACAAAGGCAAAATGAGCAGTAAGTGCCTAGTTTAACATGACACTTGTGGAGAAAATCTTGGAGGACTAATCTACAAAAATAGCACAGACAACAAAAAACGGACATTGTTCAAAATGGCATCGCTTCCATCTGTGCTACTTTTGTAGATCTGTCCTCCAAGACTTTCTCCACAAATGACACACTAAATCATTTCACCTTGTTTTGTTCATCTTTCGTTCGTATCTTTGCAAAAAGAACTAGTATTATTAAGATAGAAACAGGTTTACTCCATATTAAAACTATTTCAATAGCAAGCTTCCACATTTATCTTTACAAAACAAGAACTAATATTGTTGAGATATAAAAAATGTTAATTCTATATTAAAACCATTTTAACAACAGACTCACTCTTATTCTGGGAATTTTTTTTCTTCTGGAGACAGTCCTATTAATAGGATAGAAAGCTAGAATAGGAGCAAACCTGCTTTTCTGTGTTGTACTTTTGTAATTTTCTAATATTTTAAAGGATAACCTTTAGAAAATAAACTTTGTTTGTCATGATTCTTCCAAATGTAGGAATGACATAAAATGTTATTATTCTAGAAACTGTAAAGATAGTGACAAATAAAAAAGTTTATGATTATTAGTTATATTAGTGACATAAATAAAAAAAATGGTTGTGTTTTTATTTCTAAATTCAACAAAGAACCAACATGACAAATAAAAGAAGAAAAAATAGATTTTTCCCCTAGAGTAACCCAGAAAGTGAAAAACAAAAAAATCTTTGAACTGACAACCCTTGTCATCTTTTTTAATACTCAATATACATGTAGAAAACTGAATGGAAATATAAGTTATTGTTTTCATTTTTTTTTTCAATTGACACACCTCAAGGATAAATTCTTGCCAAAAGTACACAGCTCTACTTCACCAGCTCCAAGTGTAGTGTACACGAAACAAGTTTTGTGATGCTCTTCCAGTATTTGATTTAGTTCTGATTCGCTTGAAGCCTACAAAATAAAATTAAGCATGGTTTAAGACATGACAGTCACCTCATATTACTACTAGTACAATTCTTGATCAGTTAATGTACTTTTTCTTAAGGCCCAATTTTGGAATAGGTCTAAATCTTTAGAAAAATAGGCAGAAATTATTTGCCAGATAGCATTCTGATTTATCACTGGTTCAGTAGCATATATGCCAAATATATGCTAGAAACAGTAACAATAAAACACTTAATTGTCTAGGACAAAATTTACCACAGTAACCAACTGAAAGTGGCATTAACCCTGAGGAGGTGGGCTCAAGTATTTTGTACAACCTTGTAATACCACATAATTATAAAACTATACATACATTAAACATACTTACAGTTAATGTACCTTCATGAAATTTGGAAAGCTTCTGCTTTTAGAAAACATTACAAATATGTTGTACACAAAAAAAAAAATCCAAATTTTTAATAAAGTATAACTACTAAAGATTTGCCTCTGAATTTACTTTAGCCAGTCTGACTCAGACTATTTCTAATTTTCATATTTTAGTTACTCTAATAAGAATAAATAAAAAATCTACACAAAAAAACAAAATATAGTAGTTATGTCTGGCCTCGTTTTTTTTGTTGTTGGCTGCCACCTTACTTTATTGTAATGATGATAATAGTACATAAAATATTTTTATTCGTTTCAAATATGCACTTAAAAATATAAAATAATAATACACACAAAGCATACAATGTCCTATAACTACTATAATTTAGCTGGCTTTCTAACTAAGGTATAAGTGTCTTGAAATAATGCCCTTAGCTGATTTGCTGAACTTGGTGATAGCAACTCTGAATCTGTGTGCAATAATTGAAAATTTGTCATGAGAACAAGCTAGCATTATATGTAAGTCTTTCTATTGATTATAAATAATCAGAGATAATTATTGACATTTGGTGAAAGAGAGAATGTGATAGGAGGAGGTAGCAAATGGGTTTGACTTTCTGGTTTAGATCTCTGTAAAAAAAAAAAAAAGAACTGGAGTCTATAACATTAGACTATACCTTAGTAATATCTAGACTATATGTATAAAATTTTATTAAACTCAGAACATCATATAAGGGTGATGAAGACATCAAAAATGGTCAAATCAGTGTGATCAAATGTCACGTGATACAGACAAGAGAAGATTGTAAATTTATTTAAATATTTCCTTTTGACATTAAGAAATTAAAACTCATAATATTAACTTGAGTTATAAATCATGTTTTGATAATAACTTTATTTGATAATCATTGATAATATAGCAGTTTAATTTCGAATATAAGTCTGTTAAAGGTTGAGACATGCACATTTTGACCTATCCATGCTCAGAGGTTCTGGTTTTAGTAAAATACAAGATTAGTTAATCCAGTCTGTATTAACTCCTATTACTAACTTATTTTTACAACACTCTGTATAAAGAACTGAGCAAAAAAATTGTGTGAAATCAATTATTTTCCATGAGAAACATATAGAAATTCCCAGTAGTAATTTGTAAGATTAACTATAATATTGTTTTTATTTTGCTGTGTTATTCATTTATACATAAATATACACAACTTAAGGATAACAAGGGAGCTATTGGTCCATCTAGGTCATCCCATCCAAAATACTGAACTAAAATAAAACACTCAAAGCAAACCTCTGTCTTTCAAATATTTATCAAGCCTTCCCTTAAACTAACAGCATCTACCACATATGATGGCAACCCATTACATTATTAGGAATCCTGTTATCAACAAAATCAGGAACTCACAAGCAATTTGGTGTCCAAATAGTTAAAAAATAGGTACTCCTTCCGCAGTTTTAGGATTAAAACAAAATTCATAATTTTAGTAATATAATTAAATTCATCCTAGAAAATCATTAAAGTACTCATTTAAGTACAGTTTATCAGCTACCCATGATAAAGGATAATATAAAATTTAAGGATGTGACATATAGACTCACTGTAGACAGATCTTTCAAGTACTTGTATGTCAAACAGTCAGCTTGTTGTAAGTCTGTCACTGGATCCAGAGGTAGGCCCAGCAAGGACTTCCAGAAGCATGACATCAGGTCCAGTGGCAAAGGAATATCTGCACGCATGGTAATCCCTAGAAGCTGTCACCATAAAAAAAAAAAATGTTTTATTGCTAAATGTATAGTACACTGGAGAATCCGTCAGAGAAAGTTTCATCAACGATGCTTAATATCACAAACAGTATAATAAAATATACACACGTTTTCTTAAATATGATAATGTTGCTTAAAATAGGATTAATTGTAATTTTTTATCTTTATTTCTGTTGTATCTTGTGAAAATGATTAAAACAACAAACATCCTACATGAAATTATCAACATCTGTACACTATCAAAAGTAAACAATAAGAGATGAAAGTTTTACACTACACAACATCCACAGTAAAAACTGCATGTATAACATTCTAAAAGTTCTCAAAATAATATAAAAATTATATTATGATGTAAAAATTTTAGAAGATCATAGTTAGGTACTTTAACGTGACATGTTTGAATGTCAGTCATTAACTGTAATCAGTGTGGAAGCAGCAAAAAAAAAAGTTTAATTGCATAGGTAACAAATGTTGAAAACCCTTTGCATTTGCAAAGACATATCTAGGTGTACATTAAACTCTCAGGAACAGCAGTTGTGAAGTTTCTATTGTAAAGTTTGTGCTAAGATGATCTAGGATGTATTTTGTGCTAAAGGAATATAAGGCATGATGCACTTGTGCTAAGATGATTTGTGACATGTTTTGATGGGTGCTGAAGTGTTATAGAGCATGATGAACTTGGGCTAAAGATTATCTGGGATACAAAGCATTCGTGTTAGGGTATCACAATTATCTAAGACATGCTGTGGTGGTTGAGCATGCTACAACCTTTTTCTTTTATGGTCTACACATGCTGGGCTTATAGTGTGGTACATGTTGTCCTGTGTGGTAAAAGAAAAGTAAATATTCCCCAGCAGAAATTTCTTACACAACATAAGATTGGCATTACTTCTGTACATAAAACTAAAACTAAAGAACTTCAAAGTGTATGGTAGTCAGAAGAAACACACCTGACCAAAAGCCACAAGAAGCTGTTCTTCAGAGAAGGTCATATTCCCAGGTCGCAGGATATATCTCCCCTTGTTGTGGTTAAGTGCTGAGCTAGGACAAGGCATCAGCAAGGCCAGCAGAGGGCCTTGTAATTCTCTAGCTACTTGAGACAAGAAATGTCTGAATGATCCACCTTGTATCAGAAAGAAGAGATACAATGTATTATTAAGTATTTACAAATCAAATAGTAAAAGATGAAAAATAACAGCTTATTTCCAACAATAGTATTTTATCATAACTGTTATATCAAATAAATATATTCTACAAATCTGGGGTCCATGCTGCAAAGCTGCAGATTTAATATAAGCCTGACGTCAATGCAATACGTACATGACTGACACCCAAACACAGAAAAGTCCACCAACCTATAATAAACTTCAGATTGTGGAAGATAAGCTTAAACTGATCAAACTATATATATTTAACCTTTCTGAATCACTCCTTACAGAATCCTAAGAAGTACAACACATGTAACACAAAATTCTTACCATTTGTAGCTTGGGAGTCATTAAATTAATTTTACTTAGACATTATCAAAATGCCATAACGGTTGCCAAAACATAAAGATTTATAAAGTGCAAAACCTTTTTTTTAAAATATAATATCTATTTAACATTAGGTCAGACTTATCATTTCTGGCTTGCAAGGCTATCATTGTAGTTAAAAATGTATAGTTTGACTACAAACTGGTAAATCTTTTTAGAATTAGATAATCATAAGGGCTCAGTTCTTCTATGTCATTAGGAAAGTGAGCCAGAAGTGGTAAACATGGCATCATCACATATCAAACAACTCTATAGAACAGAATAATTTCATTCTGTTCCATAAAAACACACTACACATACTTGTTCCATGAACTTCCTCTCCTGTATACTTCACAGTGAAAGCATATGTTGGATCTCCACCACTAGCTAGTCTCACACATAACTGTCCAGATGGTATTCCTCGTAGCTGTCGCATAGCTTGACAAAACTGAGTGTCCAGAACATTCTTGTTCTCAACTACAAACATGCATGAAAAATTAAAAAATATTAAAACAAAATGGAAGTTGAATTAAAAGACAGTAAAACTAGATGGTGAAATACTACATATAAATTAGGTGATTAAATATAACTGCTACAAGCTTTTACAGCTCAATGACACTGTAACAATACAAGGTTTTTGAATAGTTATCAAACACTGCAATTCAAATGAAACAATACATTGATCAACAATGATTTATAACCATAATGAAAATTTTAAGTAAAGAACATACATATTTTAACAGACCTTTGGTCTGTTTTCTTCAGGTATGCTATACAACAAAGCCTGCAGGGTTTGTATACAAAATCAATGAAATGGTAAACTCATTAACAATAGTTTATAACCATAATGAAACTTTTAAGCAGAGAACATACTACATGTTTTGACAGACCTCTGGTCTGTCTTCTTCAGGTATGATATACACCTAAGTATACAGGGCTTATCTACAAAATCATTATACACAAAGACAAAAGATGCAAGAGTTTATAATATATAGGATTGTTGTCACATGACAGTGGTGAAATGTGCAACAGGATAATGACTTAAAGAAGATGCCAGGGCTGGTCAAGTGTGAGAACAAAAGCCAAAAAATAAACTCAGCCAAATCTTACTGTCATGGTTTAATGAAAAATGAACTTCTTTATCTCTTTCAGCATGGGCTCGGTCCCTGGGATTGACCTCATAACCCTTTTGTGCTTTTTATAGCTTTCATACTATAACTTTTAAATTAGTAAGCGTATGTTAACGTAATTTGGCAGATTATCAGTAAACATTATATTGCTTTCATACACAAAATATCAAACATTTTTATTAAGTCTTAAGCAATGTTTTTCTCATGCCTTTTTTTCACATGTTGCCTATCCAACATACAAAGTAATTTTCATTTTAAGATTAAAAATACTTTTTTGCATCAGAAAATTTTCAAATTTCACATGAGAAATCTTATTATGTCCAGATAGTTATCAAATGTTTCTTAAAAAACTTTATATTTTATCTGTTATTTTCAGTACTGAGTCTCTGTACAAGTTTAGTTGATTTGACATATCTTGGTTGGTTGGTTGGTGTTTTATGGCGCAAAGCGGCTTGGCTATCTGCGCCAAACAACCGGTAAAAGCAATGAAAG